GGGCTCCTTGGGCGGGTAATTGTGGGGGGAACAAAGTTGAAAAAGATGCTGATTTAGACACAGCCAGACTTTTCATCTGAACCAGAAGTGTTAAATCAATAGAGAAGCTCAAAGCTTTGGCTTTGATATATTGATTTATAAAGTAGGCTTACAACAAAAAAAGTTATTCCATCTTATTCAAATGTATTTGTCTATGCAGGGTTTTCTTTAAGTTCTCAACGATAGGAACTTTTCGCTGATGTAAGACTCCGCCTCTCGGCGGCAAGAAAAACAGTGCCGCGCACTCTGACATCCGTCGTCCTCTGTGGCCCTCATCCTGATCCCGAGGGCAGGCGTTTCTATCCTCACTCGACAGAGGAGGAAACTGGGGCTCAGACAGGGCATATGACTTGTCAGCGCTGACCTTGGCCTGGTGCTCATGCCTGTCAGTGCCTGGTCCTGCGCTGTCTCCCATGTGGGTGCCCAAGCTCCGTGGAGGAGCGGAGGGTCAGCACCCGCTGACAAACACCCCGGAATCCAGGCAGTGCTCAGGGAAGCTCAGCCTTCGTTTCTGGCCAGAGTGCCGTGGGATGCGGGCAAGGCCGGGCCGCTCCCGTGCTCCCCGGGGAGGTCCCCAGGCGGGGCGGTGGCCTCCATGTTGACTGACCTGGTCCATTCCTGTGAGCAGGCAGGAAGACAGTGGCTGGGCCCTTGCTGTTCCCTGGAGAGCTGGGCTCAGGATGGGCTGTGCCGTGGTGACCAGGAGCATAAATAAGGGACCAGCCGGGGAAGGAAGATGGGGAGACATAAACTGCGTTCAGAGGTCCTAGTGGAGGTGGAGCTGGTTGGCTGGATCATCCTCTAGAGCAGTGGTTCTCAACCTTCTGGCCCTTTAAATACAGTTCCTCATGTTGTGACCCAACCATAAAATTATTTTCGTTGCCGAAACCGGTTTGGCTCAGTGGATAGAGCGTCGGCCTGCGGACTGAAAGGTCCCAGGTTCGATTCCGGTCAAGGGCATGTACCTTGGTTGCAGGCACATCCCCAGTAGGAGATGTGCAGGAGGCAGCTGGTCGATGTTTCTCTCTCATCGATGTTTCTAACTCTCTATCTCTCTCCCTTCCTCTCTGTAAAAAATCAATAAAATATATTAAAAAAAAAAATTATTTTCGTTGCTACTTCATAACTGTAATGTTGCTACTGTTATGAATCGTAATGTAAATATCTGATATGCAGGATGGTCTTAGGCGACCCCTGTGAAAGGGTCGTTCGACCGCCAAAGGGGTCGCGACCCACAGGTTAGGAACCACCGCTCTAGATTAAGTGAGGCACTTAGAACAGCGCCTGACACACAGTAGGTGCTTTATACATGTCAGCCGCTCTTCTTCTAAGCCTTTCCCGCCTTTGACTTTCAGAAGCTCACCCACCGCCAAGGAGGGGCAGCCTGTGAAGGCCATGGCGGCGGAGAGGCCCACTTCCTGAGCCAGGAGGGGTGAGGCCCCCGCAGGCCCGAAGATGGGGAACGTCACTGCGGACACCTCCCGCCCAAACTGTACCATCGACCACACCATCCACCAGACGCTGGCCCCCGTGGTCTACGTCACCGTGCTGGTGGTGGGCTTCCCGGCCAACTGCCTGTCCCTCTACTTCGGCTACCTGCAGATCAAGGCGCGGAACGAGCTGGGCGTGTACCTATTCAACCTGACCGTGGCCGACCTCTTCTACATCTGCTCGCTGCCCTTCTGGCTGCAGTACGTGCTGCAGCACGACAACTGGTCGTACGGCGACCTGTCCTGCCAGGTGTGCGGCATCCTCCTCTACGAGAACATCTACATCAGCGTGGGCTTCCTCTGCTGCATCTCCATCGACCGCTACCTGGCCGTGGCCCATCCCTTCCGCTTCCACCAGTTCCGCACCCTGAAGGCGGCCGTGGGCGTCAGCGTGGTCATCTGGGCCAAGGAGCTGCTGGCCAGCGTGTACTTCCTCCTGCACACGGAGGTGGTGGAGGACGAGGACCAGCACCGTGTCTGCTTCGAGCACTACCCGCTGGAGCCCTGGCAGCGCAACATCAACTACTACCGCTTCCTGGTGGGCTTCCTCTTCCCGCTCTGCCTGCTGCTGGCCGCCTACCGGGGCATCCTGCGGGCCGTGCGCCGCAGCCACGGCACCCAGCAGAGCCGCAAGGACCAGATCCAGCGGCTGGTGCTCAGCACCGTGGTCATCTTCCTGGCCTGCTTCCTGCCCTACCACGTGCTGCTGCTCGTGCGCAGCCTCTGGGAGTCCAGCTGCCAGTTCGCCCAGAGCGCCTTCAACGCCTACCACTTCTCCCTGCTGCTCACCACCTTCAACTGCGTGGCCGACCCCGTGCTGTACTGCTTCGTCAGCGAGACCACCCACCGGGACATGGCCCGCCTGCGCGCCGCCTGCCGCGCCCTCCTCACCTGCTCCAGGACCCGCGGGCCCCGGGAGGCCTACCCGCTGGGCACCCCCGAGGCCTCTGGGGTGAAAAGCGAGGAGCCCGAGTTGTTACGGAAGCTCCAGTCGACCTTCCAGACCCCTAACTCGCCGAAAGGGGAGGGGTTGCCCCCCGCCGGGCTGGCCTAGCCAGAGGCACCCATGTGTGGGGTGAAGTGAGGTCTGAGCTTGCTGGCCGGCTGGCGACGCTTTGCCAAGCGCAGGCGCCTCTTTCTGCTGGAGCAAGGCCTCTCTGTTCCAGGGAGCGTGCATTGCTGAGCCCAATGGGGTGAGCCCCGGCAGTCCTGTCTTCTGTTGCAGGCGGGGCTGCTGGCGGGAGGAAGACGGTGAACTGTCACCTGCAGGAGGTTTTCAAAGGGAAGCAGGGGTGGGGGAGTGCAGGGTGAGAGGATGTGCATAGAGGGGCGTTGGGAGAGGAGGGTGGGGACTGGGTGTGCGCCGGCCAGGGCCTTCCAGTGCCGTTGCTGCCATGAGGACTCCTGTCCAAACGAACGGTGTCATCCAAGGAGGTGAGCAAAGCTGCATTGTCATCATGAACACTAGCCCCACCCACAAGGGGCTCGGAAGGAGGAGGAGCAGGGCCAGGAGGCTGGAGGGGAGCAGGAATGTGGGGAAGCATCTGGGGTGCTGGTAGTGTGCGCGGGGGACAGTGCGGGAGTGGCACGCAGAGCGGAGACCCCAGCACACCGTTGAGTCGGGAGAGCCTAGCAGGTCTCCCAAGCTCCAGGGCTGATGGAAAACAGGACTTGGGGCTCCCAGGCCGATGTCTGTGGTCCTTTAAACAGTCAGCTCTGAAGCACAGGTGTCAGGACAGAGGCCTAAAGCCCAGGCGTCTAATCACGTTCCCCACACGGATTCCTCCGCTTCAGTGTTGCTTCCATCTGCCCGGGAGCACCAGCCCTGGGTGTGTGTGTGTGTGTGTCTATGTTTAAAATGCCAGGGTCTCCATGACAGCTGTGTGCCAAGACCCTGAGGCTAGGGTCACGTGACTACTGGCAGTGTCCCCCACGCCCACCCCGGCCTCTGCCTCCGCCCCTTGCCGCACCCACAAGGGAATGTCTAATTCTCAGATGCAACAAAACAAAACAGATGCATTCTCTGGCATCTCTCAGTCTCTGTAACGGAGAGAGGAGGTGTCCCTGGGCTCCCCTCGCCCCCTTTGTTCTCCACGGCTCGGCCAGATCGCCCACCTCAGCCACCTGGAGCGTGAGAGTGGGCCCGTGGGCCACATGTCGCCCAGGGTGCTGACCGCCACCTTCCGTCCTGTCCTGGAAGGCTCAGCGCCCCTGCAGCTCTGCCAGGCATGTCGAGCCCCTGCCCTGGCAGTCATACCAAGAACAGAAGAGCTTACTCCTGCTCCAGGGACCTGCCCACTTTAACAGACATGCTAGCCCTTCAGGTGGCCTGGTCGGTGGCTGGGGCCAGCTCTCACGTCCCTGGGATTTGAGTCCCTCACACACAAGGGGACAGGTGGGCTCAAGTCTGGGGAGGGACTAGGGATGGGGAGATGGAAGCTGGTGCCACTAGAACAACTATGGAATCTGCTAAAGGCAGGGCCAGGAAGAACGTCTTCGATCTTTCTCCCCCCATCCCCTCCCCTCTATTTGCCAAGGATGCCCAAAGGCAGGTAGCCCAAGTGGGATTGCCCTAGGGAAGTGGGGTCCCAGGGCTACACTTGGCTTTGACTGGGCAGCACCTGCCCCAGCTCCTTATGGAGGGTTCTCTTCCCCTTCCTGAAGGTCTGAAGGTGGCTGAAATGGCCACACAACCGAGAAAAGCCCGCCCGCCCCAGCCTGGGATCCTACTGGGGCCATGGCACCGGCTGAGTCCTCCATGCCTCCTCATTCCATAGTTTGACCTTAAACACCAGTGTTCCCACCAGGATGGACTGGGGAGAGCTGAGGGCGATTCTGTTTACTATCAAGAATTGTGTTTTCGTATCGTCCTCTCTTTTATGCCAAGTATGTGTGTGTGTTGGGCTGCGCAATTGATTTATGTAGCAAATGTGAGTCTGCAAATAAAACAGAATAACCAGCCCCAGCTGGCGTGTGCTGCAGTCCTTGTGGGGAAGGGGGGTCTCCTCACACCAGGAGGGTCTAGAGGGGCCTTGAAACACCCAGTGGAGTCGGGAAGGTCGAGAGATTGACTTGCTCACAGGGAACATGAACAAGGCAATTGGGGGAGTTGCCCTTGATCACCCCGCAGTGTCCAGGGAGGATGGAGCCCTCAAGTGAAGTAGGTCTTCTCTCCCTGCTCTTGAGATCCATGTCTTCGGCCCTTCAGCGCTTGTTGCACATCCACTCTGGGACTTACCCTTTGCGGACAGAGCCCGGCCCTGTGGTTTGGAGAATATCACTCCTCTGTCTTTGGACACCTGACCCCTGCTGAGAGCTGCTCCCCACCGAGAGGAGGGCTGATCAGACCGGCCGCCCCGCACTGGGGAAGGTTACAAAGCAGAGAGGCCTGTTGGAGTCATCTCGCGGGCTGTCCTCCTCCGCGCTGGGTGTGGTGGGGAAGCCACATCTGCTGGCCAGGCCAGAGCATCGTCTCCGTAGGGGCCGGCTCCGTGTTTATTACCGAGGATTAACTCATCCCATTAACATGTACATTCAGTTTTAGTCGCTTAATCCCTCTCGGGGTCAGATTCCCGGAGTCCTGAAGTGTTTTGGGAGAGTCAGTCCTCCTTCCAAACAGACAGAGGACATGGTGGGCGCTTAGGATTCCTCTCTCTCCTGAGAGAATGGGCGGAGGGAAAGGTCCAGCTGGTATGGACTGGAGGTGGCAGAAGACATCCACTTCCTGTTTCACCAGATGCTGAGCAAGGGGAGGCTCATCTTCCTGTTTACACACAGTGGTCTGCAGGGTGGCCAGACAAGGGTGGGAGACGTTTCCAGCACAGAATACACCCCCATCTGCTGCTGTCCTCTGACCGGTACAACCCAGGGAGAGCCAGAATCGGGCCATCTTGGGTCAGTGCTTTTCAGAAAAAACTGCTGCTTACAGCTGGTGGTCCCGCAGTCTCCAGGACCTCATCTGGCCAGACAGCGGTCTTTGGCGGCCATCTCCCGGGGGTCACAATGGTGCCCAGTGCTCTGGGGAAATGGTGGGACTTCAAGTCCATTTGCTTCAACTCAACAGAAGGACCCTATGAGATTAGACATTAATATCAGTGCTGGGATGTACCGGTGAATTATCCCATGTATGTCCCCCAAAATGATGGTCCAATTTTTCAACAAATGCCACCCATGACACTAATTTGCTGCTACCCAAGACAAGTCACTCCAAGGTTGGGAAGAAAATCTGATGAGGCAAAGTGGAACCACTGTCCCCACTGGCCTTAGTTCTGGCCTCTGGAGCCATGTGACCCTACAGGCAGTGTGTTAAGCCAAGCGTGCGTTAGACAAGGCTGGATGAATAGCAGTACTTACCTGCCAAACCACGGTGCCTTAAAACAAAAGTTTATCCCCGGTTCCTGCGAAGTCATGAGCGGCTGCTTCCTGACAGTGTATTCCCGAGTGATGGCAGTGATTCAGGTTATATCAAGAGGTTCCAGGGTCTTTGGGGGGCGGGGGGTGAGGACCGGGGGCAGGGGGGGGGGGTCTCCCCTTTCATCCACACAGGTAGGGGAAGGATTGATGGCCAAATCTGGAAGTGGTTGATATCTCTGCTACTCACATTCCATTGGCCAGATCCCAGTCACAGGGCCCCAACCTAACTGCAAAGGAGGCTGGGAAATGTAGTTTTCCTATGTATGCAGGAAGAGAAAGCAGAATTGGCGAGCGTCCTGTTAGTCTCTGACAGACAGCTCTTCAAACCACTTCCACTTAATAGCGTTTAAACGCTTACCTACCTATAAAAGCCACTTCTTCAAAGGTGATGCTTGGATTGGAAGTGAGACTAAGTCTGTCTGACCTGCTCCAAGGAGAAGGGGACCATTTACCTACCTCACTGTGCTTCTATGGATGCACTGTTTTGGGGGCTAGGACATCACATTGCTGACAGAGATCGAGTTTATGTGAACTGCAGTTAAGCCACATCTTCTCCATCCTGCCCAGAGCTGTGGTCTTTTGAATCTGAGAGTTTGATCTCATTGTGGAGCCAATGGGAGCCACATGGAATGGGTAGAAAGTAGAAGAACGCCAGGGGCGGGACGAGGTAGGGCCGGTGGTCAGCAGGGCCTGTGCGAGGAGAGGCAGGGAACGGCCTGGCCCAGCTGAGTGAGGTCCACTTGGCCAGGGGACAGGCAGGGGGCTAAGGAGTCCTGACCCCCTTAGCCGGTTTGCTTGCCTTCAAGCCCCACCAGCAGGGGTGTGGGCATGGGCACCTTAATGTGCCTGCCCTTGAACACCCCCAGAGCATCCCAGACACTGTCTACCTGGATCCCCCAAACCCGCATTCCTTGAAATGCCCAGGGATGCTCACATGCCCCTGAGTCTATCCTGGTGGAGACCCCAGCCCATCTCCACCCCCACCGTGCAAGGACAAGGTCACCTCTTATCCCCCGGTAACCAGCTTCTCCAGGTTACAGCCACGCCACTCCACACGTGGACACAGCCCCTTCCCCAAAGCACAGCCAAGACCAGGACAAACCTGAACAGAACTTTACTGAAGGCCTGAGCAGGAACCATATTGTGGAAAAGCATCAAAACTGGATCCTAGAACTCAGGGCGCCAGTGGTCCCTGGGCGGCCCCTGCTACGGCGCCTTCTCCTGGCTTCCCTTACACCGTGGCCCCGGCTGCAGGGCCTTGGGCCTGCCTCTCCCTGCAGAGGGGCCTTGAGACGCCTCACTCCAGAGCTAGGACCCCTACTCTCTGGCTTCTCTGGGCTCCACCGGGTCTGAGCCTTTTCCCCAAACAGCTTAATCATCTCCCCATAAACTTCGGCCCACAGCGAAGACAATCCGTTCCACAGCCACGCCTCAGACGTCCCCACACTGGCACAGAACTCCATTCCTGTTACAAAACCAAAGGCACGTTCGTGTCTCCCCCACATGAGTCAGAGAGTGCCGGCAGCTTTACCGGTGACGTTTCTCTCTTCTAGCCACCAAGGTTTCAAAAACGCAGGGTGCAATCCTATCAAAATCCCCTGTGACACGGAGCTCTGCTGTCTCAAATCAGGGCAAAAACTGTCATTGGAGGAGAGCTGGCCAGGGAAGCTTACCGCTGGGGGGGGGGGGGGGGGTCCCGGGAGCTGGGGTAAGTTGCAGGTGGAGGGACTGTGAACTCATTACAATGGGGGCCCAGGCCCTGATGCCACACCAGCAGGAGCACAGACTGGACATGGGGATCCCTGGCAGAAGGGCAAAGGGAGGTCTGGACCATCCTCCCCCCATCCCAGCTTTGTTTGGGCAGGGGCTCCGCCCCGCCCCTGTGGGGGGAGCACAGGAGTGAACCCCAAATCACTTACTATACACTTGGGGGTTACTGGTGAGGGTACAACTAGGGGGAGTTTTTACAGCATGGGTTCCATTGTTTCCAATCAATGCCCCATAAAGAAACAAGCTAAACGTGTTCAAAAAAATAAAATAGACCGTCAAACCTCAGAGGGAAGGCAGGGGAGGCGGGGTAAGAGACCAGCCAAAGGGCTGGTATGCATGCCTATCAGTGTAACCAATGGACGCAGACAGTAGCCGGGTGAGGGCATGTGCTGGGGGTGGGAGCAGCCGGGGAGAGGTCAATGGGGGGAAAAGGAAGACATATGTAATACTTTCAACACTAAAGAATTTAAATTAAAAAAAAGAAGAACAAACTAAGCAGGCTCAGTTAGCATCTGGGGCCCTAGCCGCCCCCTCCCCACCCCCGTCTGGATGAGCCAGCACAAGACACTGCTGGGCTGGTCCAACAGGTATGTGTAAAGGGATGTGGTCAGTGACTCCGTTTCTGGTTTTGTCCGGAAATGTGCAGTGGGAGATTGTGAAGGAGATGAGGACAAGCTGGCTAGAGTCGTCCGGGAGGCCTCTGTGAGCGACTTAGGTCCTAGAGAGCCTGACCTGCCCCGGCTCCAGGAGTGTGGCTGCCCGCCTCCCCCCTGGGCAGGGAGGGCAAAGCATCCGGCTCCGGGCAGGGCGTTGGGGGTGGGGGCGATGAGATGAGGAGGAGGTGGAGGAGGAGGAGGCTCCCAGGTGGGGGCTCAGGAGGTGAGGGGGGGGTGATGGTGTGAAATGTTAAGGTGGGGGGATCTTTTGCCTAAGTAAACAAAGTGCTGTTTGAAAAGAGAGCATTGCAAAGGTATATTTTCTTGGCTGTGGTAGTGAGTAAACCTTGAGTAAAGACCCAGAGTTGCATAGATACGCACGTCACATTTGTGCATTTTACTGTTCAAGGTTAGCATGGGGGCTTCTCACGGCTCTTGGGTCTGCCTGGTACTTTATTGCTTACCGTGTGGCCGCCAGAGCACCCCACGTGGGCGGCCTGAGAGGCTAAGGTGAAGGAGGGGTGATTGAAAGCAATGCCTCCGGCACCTGACAAACAGAAACAGACACTGGGAGGCCCAGAGGAAGGGTCGTGGCCCACCTGCCCTATGCCCTCCCGAGGTGGCATGCAGAGTCCCAGGCCAGCTCCCGGGCTGGTGCTCATTTGCAAGGCCGGTACAGAGGCCCTCAGGGACTCCTCCCCGGACGTGGCCGTCTGTCCCGTACTCGCCACCGGTGTGCTGGGTGTGGTCACTGGCGCCCCGTGGTGACGTCCAGCAGCTTCTGGATCATCTGGGCGTGGGTGCCGTGGAAGGGCAGCCCGTCCACCTCCATGCCCACGTTGCCCGAGACGCCGCTCCGGACTCGGTGCTGCACCAGGATGCTCAACATTTTTTCTTCCTGAGACAAAAGGAGGCAGAGAAAGAATTAGCGAATGGGGGAGGGGAAAGACACACAGACAAGCAGGTAAGTGGAGGCAGGGCGTTGGACGTGACATGGCCTCTTCTTCACGACGACGTGTGGATTAAAAATACGAATGCCACTGGGAGACTCTTCATGAAAAACAATTCTGCATCCTGCTTCGTCGGGCTCCAAACCCACTCGCCAGAAGCGGCCACAGTTTGGGCT